GTGTCTCTTTCTAAAAATAAATGAAATATTTGTATTCTGCACAATTGGTGCTATTGAAGTATATAGACTTATGATTAGAAAGCCAGAAAATTTTCTTCGATACCTGAGGGGGACCTCAAATATCAAAAGTTGAGTTATGGTCATGTGGAACATAGAATTATGAAGAATACTTTGAGTTTGATGCTGACTTCCAAAGTAATAAAATCAGGCTTAAGTTTTTCGGGACCTCCAAACCCTAATTCGACGCAACTTTTGACGTATTAGAGTGTGATTTATGTACGATAATAAACTAATAAATGAATAACCATCAACTACATGCTTCACTTTATCTTATTTTACTATATCTTGCTTGTTCGATAAAGTTGGAGATACTTCACTTTACTTTACTTTACTTCTCGGATAAAGTAGATCTAGTTTACTTTACTCGATAAAGTAAAGTAGACGAACTTTACTTTACTGGGTAAAGTAAAGATAAAGTGCCACCCCTAATTGAGACTAGTTTTAGTACAAAAAAACATTGTTTGGATTTCAAAGAACACTATGTTCGTAAATCAGTGAGTAACTAAAGCTGTTTATGTCTTGTAAATTATTTCCTCAGCTTTTGGCTATAGTTACATTTCTAGCCTTGACCCTCAGAGATATCTGCGAAAGTGAATTTCAACCAGAAAGTACTTTGGTAGTGTGATTACCATTTGTGACATAAATAATGGTACTCAAAAGCAGAACCAGAGATTTGTTGACAGTGAAATATATGTTTTGATGAAGTTTTATTCATGCATTCTAACATGAAACACGGTATAAAGTTGAGAGAAGAATAAATTATTCAAACAAATTGAAAGAGGCATAAGTCCCCTCCGCTTAATGAACTGAGTTCAGATATAATATTTGTCTGAGCTTTAAACAAGGGGTTTCTGCTACAAAGCCATTCGATACGGGAACAATAAAAATCAAATTAACTGATAAATATAGTTGTTCATGTGAAAAGGTTCCACTAGACCGTAATTTTCAAGTTGGAAATGTTCCCATGCGAAACAACATAGCGAGTCAAATACTCGGCCAAAACATCTGGCTGACTGGCACGCAGAAAACAAAGTGGCAGCAGATTGTAAGAAGTCATTATCTAGAATAACTTCATCAAGGTCAAGGCTTCCGACATGCATCGATAGACAAGCGCTAAAACGTTTAAGATGGCTTTACGGAGCCTGATAGGAAAAAATATTCAGAGCAAAAAGAATCTCTTTTTGATGAGTTTACTTGGGTACTAGTGCACTTCTACTGCAAAAGCGTTTTCCATCAGACTTTTAGAGAATGGTTTAGACGATCCCAACTGTCTACCGCTTTAATAAAATTTGCTATATTCACAACTAGCAAACTCAGCTCAATTAGCACTTAACGGCTACAGATTAATGTGAATTTCTATCGATGCCTAACGAGACCTTCGATGTAAAAAATAGATTTGTCATGCATTATAAAAGAACCGACTAAAGCTTATTCCAAATTCTAGAAGGATTCTCAGTCTAACGAGTTCCCTACTGATTTTCTCGGATAAACATGGTCGATCACTTCATATATCCTTTGTTCGATGAAAAGAATACCTCTACGAGACTCATATTCGGAAGGAACAACTGATTACAATTTTAAAAAAGAATATTTGAACAATCCACTTAGAGTTTGTTCAATAATGAAAATATGTTTTTCTCAAATGACCGACTGCCTAGACAGACCCAACAGGTCGAACATTTAATGCCAAACATTTTCGTCCTATTTCACAAATTCCGTTTTTCTATCAAATAAATATGCATTAAATTTAGAGCACATTAATCTACATCCATTTCAATGGAATTGCTACTACTTCTACGAAAATCTCCTAACTCTCGGCACTTCTTCGTACTTCCCTCTACTTCCATGCACGTTCTCCTACTGTCCAACGCCTCTTCGTATTTCTATATACTGTTCACCATCTCGCCCACTACATCCATGGATCGCCACCTTCTGCACAGAAAGCAGAACATCAAAGCATATCTCAGTGTTCCTCGGTACAACTCCGAACATCTCATACGCAGTAGAACGCTTCTCAGACCTCATACACGTACACTAGCATCAGTCTTCCGTTTCTACTTCGCCAGTTATGTTCCTCAAACCACTTAGAACTTCGTTCATTTTTAAAATCATCTTTCCCCATTGTAAAGGAGTTGGCCTCACTAATTTCCTAACTCATAACCACTTACCGGCTAACTTAACAGCAACATCAGACTCGAAGTGACTCATGGAAAAAACATCTCACCACATAGCTCTTGATTCGAGATCTTTCGAAACACAAGAGATATTTCATATCGTCGCATATCATCTACAGCAATATGCTTTATACCACAGAATTTCAATTAAACTGTGAACAAAGCATCGATGACCCTTAAAAACTTCCGGATCTTGCAATCAGACGCGCACACTACATTCATTTAATTAGAGCCACTACTTTTACCAACCAGCAGCATCTATCGCATCTTTCCTTACTAACCTGCTTTCGGTTTCCACCTATCCCATCGCTATCGGAGTCCGCACTGAGACATTCGCTCCACTGATCAAGTAACAACTAGAAGAAAGCCGATAGCAATAGTCTCCAACGAACTACGATCCCGTCTTCAACAACATACCAGTACTTCCATTAATATCATATACAATGCACCGATAACTAAAGGAGCATGCACCTTAAAGACAACCCTTACCGAACCACTTCGCTATCGAAGCAAACATCTCCACAATGCTACTTGAGGATCCTCGGCTACGTCCCAGAGTAGCACATCCCTATCCAATAGTGCGCATCTATACCAGCATTTGAGGAACAAAGAGCATTCCTATCTCGTACGAATTGAGAATCCAACGATACCTCCCAATAGTAGGACTTGAGGGCTCAAGGGTACCTCCCTATAGTAGATCATGAGGACCCAAGGATACCTTCCAAGAGTAGGACTGGAGGACCCAAGGGTACCTCCTAATAGCAGGACCTGAGGACCCAAGGGCACCCCTAGTAGTAGGACTTGAGGATCCCAAGGACTCCCTATAGTAGGTATTGAGGACCCAGGGGTATCTTCCAATAGTAGAACTTGAGGACCCAGGGGTACCTCCGACTAGTAGGACTTGAGGACCCAAGGGTACCTCCTAATAGCAGAACCTGAGGACCCAATGGCACCACCAGTAGTAGGACTTGAGGATCTAAGGGACTCCCTATAGTAGAACTTGAGGATCCAAGGGACTCCCTATAGTAGGTCTTGAGGATCCAAGGGTACCTTCCAATAGTAAGACTTGAGGACCCAAGAGTACGCCCTATTGTAGGTCTTGAGGATCCAGGGGCACCCCCAATAGTAGGACTTGAAGACCCAAGGTACTCCCATTATAGAGTATATGACGGCCTAAGCGTATTCCCATTATATTGCATTATTTGATCTATGTGAAGTGAGCCACATTTTTTTGGCTAGCCTGTTTGGATAACTTCATTTGACCGTATTTCTGATGTATTTTGAAAGAAAATATCGATTTTTTTCAGATATTTCCTAAAAAAAATCCATCTTCTAACCCTGTTAAAAAGCCTCAATTTTCTAAAAACCTTGACAGCAGACTCCGAAAAACTGTACCAGTAAAATTCGATATGGTTTCACCCTCTCTTTTAAATGGTGAAAACCGCAGATCTCTATCTAGTTTCCATCAAAAATTATTTCAAAAATACTCATCCTTCTTTTATTTTGAAATGAATAATAGTTCTATATTTAAGAATGACATTAATTTTTATAAACGTTTGTGTTTCTCATTATTGTACTCTCAGATTTGTCTTTCTTAACTTTTATCTATCAAATACATACTTCCAAATTTCTTGCGTCTTGAAATTTTATACTGCTTTATTTTTTCATTATTGCAAGAGTTGAAGTTAATTGTTTGCTTATTATAGTCTCTGTTTGACATTTCAATTGAACAACTATCTTAATATTGTTACCGTCCATTACAATATATTTCGTTATCTTGGAAAATTCATCGCAAATAATGAATAGAACTAATAACAAAGAGGATATCACTCTGATTTGGTTCGACTCAAACATTGATTCCAATAATCGAATCGAACAAACAAACAAACAACTACATCAAATAAATGATTATATCGTATTTCACACAGAATTAAAATCTTGTATTAATTCCGTTAAATCGATAAATAATGAAAAAATCGTTTTTATCTCTTCAATTTATGATGCACCGCAAATATTACAACATATTATAAATCTACCTCAGCTTGATAGTGTCTTTGTCTTGAACTTAGGAAAACTTGATCATGAACATTTAGTTCTTGAACAGTCAAAACTTATTGGCATCTACGATGAATTCGATTTATTATGTTTATCAATTCAAGATCGAATCGATTTTCTCGATCAAAATTTACAAACATTCAGTTTCTATGATCAAGGTGAATATTTGACTAAAGATCTATCAAAACAAACTGCTGATCTTATTTGGTTTCAACTTTATCATGATATTCTTTTTGAATTAACATATGATGAAGATGCTAAACAAGAAATGATTGATGTATGTCGCTCCTATTATCAAAATAATATCAAAGAATTGGAAATGATTGAGAAGTTTAAAAATGAATATCGATCTGAATACGTTCTTCAGTGGTATCGGGAAAAAATATTTCTCTATAAAATGATTAAAAAAGCATTGAGAACAAAAGACTTCAATCAACTGTACATATTTCGGTATTTTATGAAAGATTTAACAGAAAGCTTTGTTCGAGAAAATCAAAAGATGGTTCAATCTGGTGAAGAAATATTATTCATGTATCGAGGAATGAAATTAACAAGTGATCAAATCGAGAAATTCAAAGAGAATACAGGTAAACTAGTTTCAATCAATGGATTTTTCATAACAAATAGTCTTCGTTCAATTGCATTGAATCAAGCAATGAGATCTTCAGAAAAAACCGATCTCATTCCTGTTCTCATAGAAATCCAATGCGACCCACAACATCTGAGCAATAGTGTCATTATTACTAATAGCGATCACTTTAATGAATATTTATGTGAACAACAACAAGAAATTCTATTCGATTCAAATGTCACTTTTCGATTAGTGTGTGCAGGAATAGAAGAAGACATATGGTTGATTAAAATGACTGTATCTAATGAAGGTCAAATTATCAAAGAAAAGTATATCAAAGATTCACATCGTCAAATGGAAGATGTGAGTACTAGAATTCTCTTTGGACGATTGATGTGTGATATAGGTCAATGGGATCAATCACAACATTTCTTTCAACTTTTATTGAACAATTCGAATAGTAACAATGAAGATCTTGCAACAATTGAATTTAGTCTTGGTGAAGTTCTTCAATGGAAAGGTGAATGGAGTGAAGCACGGAAATATTATAATCATGCTTATGATCGGATAATGAACGTAAAACCAACAAAGATCAAAGATTCAGCTAAGATACTCTTCAATATTGGTGAAATATTGTATCTAGAAGGAAAGTATGAAGAAGCGTATGATTATTATGAACAAGTATTAGCAATACGAAAACAAAATTATTCTTTTTCAAAGAATGTTAGACTTTGCCCATCCAATCATCAGCGTAATAGTTTGCTAAATCATATTCGCATGTCGTCGTTTGGGTCGGCTTCATTGAATTCAAGAGGATTTGCTCAATCGTGTTGTCGATGGTATTGCACAACAAAGTTTAGACGAATTTCTCGGTGGTATTGCACTGTAAAATTTCGACAAATTTTCTTTCAATTCCCATCAAAATATGCAACAAACAAGGTAGGACTTATTGGTAAACAGTTATCCAAAAGACGTTTGGTAGACAAGTCTCGAAATGTACACGAAATTGACTCATTGCAAACGAATCAAATTAACCGAGGTAGTGATGTGCTTATTGCTGCTACTCTTCGTAGCTTTGGCAACATTCTCTTTCAACAAGTCAAATATGATGAAGCGCTTATCTTTCATCAACAAGCATTGACAATACTCGAAGAATATTATCAATATCCTCATATTGATATTGCTGTTAGCTTTGGTTATATTGGTAGCGTTCTTATGTGCCAAGAAAAATATGATAAAGCTCTTGATTTCTGTCAACGAGCAATTTCAATCTACACAGGGTACTATCCAAATGGTCATATATACACTGCATCCACGCTCGACTATATCGGTTACATTCTCTATCTTGAAAAAATGTATGATGAAGCTCTAAAGATTTATGAGCAAGAATTGGCAATGTTACAAAAATATTATCCATGTGGACATGTTAATATAGCTTATGCTCTATGTGGAATAGGAAGTGTTCATTGTGGACAAAGAAAATATGATGAAGCTATAACATTTTACAAACAAACATTGGATATTGCACAGAAGTATTATTTTCCTGGTCATAGCAATATTATTTGTACTCTAAATCACATTGGCTATGTACAAAGGAAGCAACAAAAGCATAATGAAGCTCTTGATTTTCATCGACGAGCACTAGCACTTCAAGAGAAATATTACCCAATGTATTATGCAAATATCGCTCATACTCTCAATGACATTGGTGACGTTCTCATTGATCAAGAAAAATATGATGAAACCTTGAAGTTTTATAACCGTGCACTCGAAATGCAAGAAAAGTATTATCCAAATAGCCATGTGGACATTGCGACTACTCTCAATAAGATTGGTAGAACATTTCGTCGGCAAAAAAAGTTCGATAAAGCGATTGAATATCATCAAAAAGCATTAGAAATTCAAGAGAAACATTATTTATCAGACAGTGTAATCATAATTGATACTATCAATCCTAGTGGTCACGTTCTGTATGAGGAAAAACAGTATGATGCAGTCAATGACTATTTTCGACGAGCACTTTCAACACAAGAGAACTTCTATCCTGATGGTCACATTGAAACTTCTCGTACTCTCGATTCTATTGGTAGAACTCTATACAAACAAAAGAAATACGATGAAGCTATTCAGGTTCATCAAAAAGCCTTGACTATTCAAGAAAAGCAATTTAGATTGGCTCATGTCGACGTCGCAGATAGTTTGAACAATATTGGTAATATCCTATGTAGCCAAGAGAAATATGATCAAGCCATTGATTTCTATCAACGATCATTAGCTATTCGTGAGAAATTCGATCCATTTGGTTATGCTGGCATCGCTGCCGTTCTTCGCAATATTGGATTAGCACTTCATGAACAAGAAAAGTATGATAAAGCTCTGAACTTCTATCAACGAGCACTTGCAGTTCAAGAGAATTTTGATGCAATTAATCATGTTGGCATTGTTGATATTCTGATAAACATCGCCAATACTCTAAGAGATCAAGGAAGGTATAATGAAGCCATTGAGTTTCAACAGAGGGCATTGACAATTCGAGAAGACAAACATTCCACATGTCATGAACTAATTGCGAATAGCTTGAATCACATCGGTCATATTCGACTTGATCAAAGAGAATATAGTCTAGCACTCGAATGTTATCAACGAGCTTTAACAATTCTTAAAAATTGTTATCCATCTGGCGATGTGAATATTGCTCAAAGTCTACGATATATCGGTGATGCACTATATGTACAAGGCAAATATGAAGAAGCTTTCGATTTCTGTCAACAAGCACTGACAATCTATGAGCAGCATTATCCATCTGGTCATGAAAATCTTGCCACATGTCTGAATAATATTGGTAATATATACAGTGATCAAGAACAGTATGATAAAGCTATTGATTTTTATGTTCGTGCACTGACAATGTATAAGAAAAATTCTTTTAATCATTCTAACGTTATTACTTGTCTGAACAACATAGCTCCGACTTTAAAAAAACAAGGAAAATATGGTGAGGCTCTGGACTATCAAAAACAAGCCTTAGCAATTTTCAAAATTAAGTCACCTAGTAATCAATTTAGAATTGCTACTAGTCTCAAAAACATCGGTGATACTCTGTTTCAGCAAAGAAAATATGATGAATCTCTTGATTTTTATCAACAAGCATTAATTATATTTGAAGAACATTACCCCAATAATCATTGTCAAATAGCTATTTGTCTATCTTGGATCGTTGCTAACTTCAATAGAAAGTATCAATTCGATCTAGCTATTCAATATTTAGAAAGATGGCTATTAATTGTAGAAGCCAGTTCTTCTTCAGAAGATCTCTCTATCAATAACGTACTTACGTGGTTGTCACAGGTGCAAAGAACGAAAGTGCAGCACGAACTTTCTCTTATATATGAACAGAATTGTTTCTTGATGCTTCTCAAAGTTCTGCCACCAGATCATGTGGATATTGGTAATAGTTTATTGAAAATAGGTGAGATTTATGAAACTCTTCATAAGCCAACGTTGGCACTTGATTACTACAAACAAGCATTAGTTATCTACAGAAAATGTTTGACTGTCTGGCATGATAAAATATGGAAGATAGAATGGAATATTCAACGAATTTCGGAAAAACTTGAAATCGAACTGGATGAATCAGATTGAATATTCAAATATAATTCTTTCTTATTAAACATAACTATTATTCAGAATACTGTGTTGATAGAAATATATTAATAAGACTATATGAGACTATTGCATGTGTCTATTTTCTGACGAAAAATAGAATTAAGTACACATTTAGCCAGATCAGAAATTATTGCTTCATACGATATATTTCCTAATAAATCTTCTGGAGGATGTGAGGGTGGGTTAGAGTTGGGGTACGAGTGCTGATGTCGGTGTGGGTGTAACTGTAGTATTCACACACCAACCGAACTTGATCATGTCGTCGGACATTCAATTGTGTGATATTCATAATCAAATATTCGATCTTATTATACGTGAAAAACGTGTTTATCAAGGTCAACTTCCATCTGTTACTGAAATCTTTGATAGTAATCATCATTTACCAATGTTGGTTATTATGAAATTTTATTATAAATAAAGTTCATGTAAGAAATATGTTGCAAATCTTAAACAACCAAAATATTTTATTCTTTACTTTATTTCATCTAACATCTCACGTCTTAATCTTACATCAATAATCAATATGATAAATTATTGTTCATAAACTGCGAATGTATTTCATAAATATATATTTCTAACCCTTCACATTTGTCACAAAGTAAATGTTGAATTATTAGATTTACTCAAACGATGATTTTTAAGTACCCATTCACTGCGTAATACAATATATTCCCTCATATATGTCCATGATAATAATTATTTTTGTTTTTATGATGATTATGGTCATGTAGAATGTTCACGGTAGAATTCAACATTAGATCAATGCAGTGGACAATGTATTCGTGGTAATTTAGATAATTGGAAAGATTTTGTGTGCTTATGTCCTCGTTGTTATCATGAAAGTGTTGGTCAATTACAATACTAAGTTATTTAGTTTTACTGTGGAAACATTCTTAACCAATGATTTACATTCATCATCTGTTCTTGTTCACCAAACTTTTTTCCAGATATATTATTCAGATTAGTAAATATTGAATGTTTAACATAATCTATATTATTATATCTCACATAGTGATCTACCGAGTCTTCCGATAGACGTCTGTATACCTTAATTACTAATCCAGCTTGAGGGTGTCAGTGTAAGTGTGGGTGTGGGTGTGGGTGTGGGTGTGGGTGGGTGGTGTGGATGTGGGTGTGGGTGTGGGTGTGCGGGTGTGGGTGTGGGTGTGCGGGTGTGTGGGTGTGAGTGGATGTGGGTGTAGGTGTGCGGGTGTGGGTGTGCGGGTGTGGGTGTGGGTGTGGGTGTGTGGGTGTGAGTGGATGTGGGTGTGGGTGTGGGTGTGGGTATAGGCGTGGGTGGTGGGTGTGAGCGTGGGTGTAAGTATGGAGAAGGTCTACACCAATACCCACACCCACACCCACCCTTTAGAATAGTATTGTACCTCACATGTACCCCATTTAGAAATTTTTGTACCCCATTCTAAACCTGAACAGATGGCAGCCCTGCGTGCAACACATCTCATATTGAATATCTTTAACAATCAGCGTATGGATAATTAATGTTATATTGATTTGTTCAATGAACACTATAACATCATCTTAACCAACATTGTTTTATGGTACTGCACATTTTTAAGAGGATTAATTCTAGTTCAGTTGTATTTTGTGAATTATAATAAGTGCAGACATATTGTTAACGTTCAAAAACTAAATGAAAGGGGAATCATCATTAATATTATTACGTGTTAATATATCATACTGACAACGTAAGCGATTCTTTCCTTCTCGGATTATATGATAACCATAATATTTTCCATTGCTCTTTAAAAAGTGCAAGTACGTATGACTAACAAGCATATTCAACCAAGGTAAACAAGTTATCATGTTCTAGTATAGCTTATAATTGTAAAATGAATTAGAGTTTAGCGGTTTTATAAAAGTTTCAAAAATTAACTATTTAATATTTTATCTACTTCTCATC